ATCTAATTTTGTACGGCAATTGCAAATGTTTAATCAATTGAAGAAATGTCCGAGTATATGGGTACTAATGATTACCCTTCATTACAAAAACTATAAACTAAATTTAAAACAAAAAAGTATTCTACGCAGCCTAGTATACCAATTCACTGTTTCACTTCACAGTGATCACAACACAGTGAAAAGAACCACGTGATTTAACAAGTTGAAATCAATCGAATTGTGATAAATGGTGGCAATATAGAAAAATCCTAATTACAGCGTAAAAATAAAATATTTAAGCTTGAAAAAAATGAGGAACAGATCTTTAACTGAATTAAATATCACTTGTGGGTGGATTAAAATTTTGATAATTTAGCATTTGCTTATGGTCGCGATCATGAAGAAATAGCACGGAATACGTACACAAATTTTATGTCACTGAAGTTTTGGTTTAAAGTCACTAGCGGCAGCTTATGGGTAAATCCAAAATTTCCAGGAATAGAATCTTCCCCAGATGGACTTGTTACAGATTTACCTAAAAAATCATATAGTTTACTGGAATTTAAGTGTCCAAAGATTTTAGAAAATATTGAACTAATAGATATACATACACCAACACCTCAACAAAGAAGTTCGTTCTGTTTTATCTTACAAACGCCGAAGTCAATGAAATTGAAAAGAAATCATCAGTATTATTATAAAATTTAGACGCAGATGGCAATAACCGGAAAACAGTGGTGTTATTTTATGATATGGACCTCGAAAGGTTTTAATGTAAACCGAATTGAATACAGTCCAAATTCTATCACTTTGACTGCCACGTCACCCGTATTTTGGTGCCAGTAAGGTTTCTGATCGGGCCGCGTCACCCGTACTGGGGTGTCGCTTATTTGAATACTTGCGAAGGATATTCGTATGTGTTTGAAAAGATATTTCGCAGAGGAAGTAACAAAACTATTTAATATTAATTAATATAAAAACTATATTTAATAATATAAACTTAATGTTTTTTATATTAGTATATTGATTAATATAAACTATTATCACAGCAGTAATACGATAATGGTTTTTTAAGGAAATTTATTAAGAATGTAAAAATTTAAAACAATCTATCTAAAAAGCTGGGGTTAGTCGAGGCAACTTGGACAATAAGTTATTGTTTTCTTTAAATTGTCTCGTGTCTGATCGACCCACTCGACGTCTTTTATCTGCATAACATTGTTTGCATGTTCGTCTAGTGCTTCTTCCGGAATCTTTTTTCCGAACGGCGATATTATGCTGACTTCGACGAAGATAAGGATTAGTTGTATTGTCAGTCAACACTAATAATTTTGCAGTTAATAATTCCCTAAATCTTCTAATATTTACATTCTTTTTTTCTGCAATTTTGTAAACTGTCAAAGCGTTTACAACAGAAATTCCCAGAAGTAATTGAATGCCAAGCTTTCGGTACCACTTGATTCCTTTTCTAATTGTGGTTGCATAAGAAACTATTTGGTCGGAATAATTTATACTACACTTTAATGCTTTATATTCAGCAACAGCTAGTGGTTTTAGTGATGTAGATGTGTCTGTTGGCTTGGAGAAACAGAACGAATGCTACGACTTTTTTTTTGTACATGATACTATGATAGAAGCGTGTTTTAAAGATAAAATTCTCACGTCCCGCGTATTTTTCCATTTGAGTACCACAAGCCTGTTATCATCTTCTTTGAATATCATCTCCCCTTTTCTTAATTTGCTATGAAGTACATCTTTTGGGACGAATTTTTTGTTATTCCTAAGTGTTCCTACTAGATGGGTTTTGCGGTTTAGGCACGATATCGCTAACTTATAACTCGAGTAAAAATTATCAATGTACAATGTTTGTCCTTAGTAGAAAAGTTTCTCTACAAGCTAAAGACAAACATAATGTGCTAATCTAGTTTCTCTAATACAATCAGCTGATTTACCAGAGTAAATTTTCATCGCTCATGTATATCCCGTTCTTAAACATAATTTAAATAATTGGATGCCGTATTTGTGCGCTTTATTTGGTATATAATGTTTGAAGATGAGTCTTCCGCGCCATGAAATCAACGTTTCGTGCATAACAATGTGCTCTTCAGGCGTGAATATTTTTTGATACTTTACCTCCAATTTGTCGAGAAGTAAACATATTTTTCTAAGTCAATCGTTACGGGCAATAGGCACATTATTGCTGAAATGAAAATTATTTAATAGTAACTCGAATCTATTTCGTGACATTATACTACGCGGTAATTAAATATTATGAAGTTGGCTTTTCGACCAATAATTGGCAATGTGGTTTATCAGATCTACTGGAAAGTCATGACCACTTTTTCTAGCAGATGTCGCTAGGCTTGAGTATGCAATGTTATGATTTGACACATATGTCTTTTAACTCTACTGACATAAAGCTGTAGAAGCTTCAGAAAGCTAATAGCTTTGCGAAAGTAACACGTCATAGATTTATACTCGTTTTTAAAACAATTCAAATTTCTTTACAAAACATTTATACCAATTCGATGGTCTCATATATCTATACTTTCTTTCGATTTATTAACTAATATAGCCCGTAAGCACTAAAAAAAGTGTCAGTGAAATACAGCTGATTTGGCCTAATGGGAATATTCACCGTTAGTTGTATATGGCTGACATTGCGGTCAACGTGTTGATGTTCGCTGATGATATGATCTTTGTGGCAAGAACACTAAATGGACTACAAACAATAATTGATACAGCCTCTGATCTCTTCGCACAATGTGGTTAATTTATCAGCATCAATAAATCGTTCACAGTGGCACTAAAAATGTGCTATAGATTAACCCTTTCGCACTGAGAACTGCATATATTCGGCATCCACTTGACGACCTGTTGGTACGAGCGCCGCATATACGCGGCATCCACGCTATAACGTCTGGCGAGTCTCCGTTCAGGGTAGGTACCTCGGCGGGCAGGACTACCGTAGCGAAAGAATTAAAAAGTCTGTCGAAAATCGGAAGGTCTATGTAGGATTATTAGGTTCTTCTAAATGAATATTAACACAAAATATAATTTAAACCAGAAAACTTTAATATTTAAGTGCACAAGGAATGGCACATCTTTACCGAAGGGCTGTTTCTTATTGTTTGGGAATTAATCTGCCCAATCAGAACGCTCAACAGTTGTCGCTCAATGTAGACTCGCCATAACTCATCACGACGGTGAAGAAGCGCCGTGACGCCGGCTTCTCAAGCAGCCATAATTCAATTGTTCCCAACGACTCGTTCTAACCACACGCGTCTTCTCAACTTTGTCTTACGTCTTCTCACAAAGTTACAAGTTCGATGGGATTAATATAATCCACATAGTCCGGTTCAAAAGTGATTAATATAATCACGCCGTCTCAAGTCCACTGATTGTAATATTCTCAGTGATAAGTTCGGAACGTATTCTGCTCAACGGCCACTCAGTTTAAATCTCAACCGACACGCGGTGTACTCGTACGCATTTTTAATAAATCTGACCACTCACTGCAATTGCTCGGCGTTCTACTCATTAAACCTACTTATTTCCTCAACATTTGGTCCTTCGAGCCGGATCGAGCATTTGCAGTGCAGATTTGTAAAAATTGGTAAAGGTTATTGTGTACGGTACATTTCATCATCTCAGTTTCTTTGTTCGTGAAAGTAGTGCCAGCTCAAKTAGTGCTCTTACGCGTGACGTAGTACCGTGTCACGCCTTCTCTTTTACTCGAAAAAGTAGTGCTATCTCAGTCGCTTTGTTCCGCGCGAAATAGTGCCATCTAAAGTTGTGTGGCTACGCGTGACGTAGTGCCGTCTCACGCCCGCTCTTACGTCACGAGAAATAGTACCACGCTCGTGTTAGTGTGACGCGTGAGCCGCCCCCCTCTCTCACTCTCGAGTAGGGYGAGATAAAGCCATCTCTCTTGCGAGTACGTGTCGTCCCACTCGCTTCGCGCGACCCGCGAATACTTCCCCCACTCTCACTCCCGAGTAGCGGGGTATCGTCATCTCGTTCGCGGTGTTTAC